AATTTTTCTTATTGGAATTTATGGAATGTGTAAACACCAACAACAGTTATGGTCACAATTCTAGACCCTCAAACAAAATACAATAGAAAAGATAAAAACAACAACAACAAAACAAGTTTTTCAGACATGCAACACTGTTGCATGTAATAAACTTTGCCATTGTTATTGGTTGTTGTGGAAATTGTTGTTTGACTGGCCTTTCGTTCAGTTTTTTTCTTTATTTACCTTTCGCCATGCAACATTTTTCTCCTTTTGGCTTTGTTTTGCCCACATCTTTGTTGATTTCATTCAACACTTTTCTTTCATTCATTCGCTCCCTCGCTCGTTCGACAAGCAACAATGGGCCCAATGGGTTGGGTGCTGGGGAGGAGTATGATTTCACCTTTTCTTTGTGGTGATCATTTTTTGTTTTTTTTTAGAATTATTTTACCTCGATTTTGAATAATAAAAAAATACAATAAATATTAAAAACTAAATTTGCATCATGAAATCTTTTATGGAAATAATGGCAACATTCACTTCACTTGAACTCTCTTCGATCTGACCGTGAAATCATCGTTATGACTCGCTCTCTTTATGGAGTATTTTTCTGCTTCTTTATCAATGATAGCTATTTGTTGTTGTTGTAGGGTTTTTTTCGACGCTCACGCATATCTGCTGTTAATAAATATAATTTATCATATCTAATCGTGGTTGCGATGTTTTTTGCATCTTTTTTAATTTGTTTCTTTTTATTTCTTCACCGATCATATTCCGATTGTAGATTCAGTCAGGGTTTCTATATGGTTGTTACCATATGATTCAATGAACGAACGATGATCGTAATGGAATCGAACTAGAAAAAACAACAACTACAAAACATGGTGATAATATACTATTGTGATGATGACGTAGTTCTTTGCCAATTGTTATTGATAATGGCCTTTAAAAATAAACCATGATGAAGAGAGCCCAGAAAAAAAAGAGAAATGTAAAGATTATTATCGTCAATAGTCTATAAAAACATTTTTAATATTTTGTCAAATTCCAACAAACAATCAAATATTTTGAAAACGACGTAATGCTATATGTGCTTTCGTGTTAACAGACGACGTAATGCGATTCCACGAAAAAATCTATGTTAATTATTTTTTTTTCGTAGTTCAACGGGGTAAACTTGTTTGATTTGTAGATTTTCTGGCCAGGTGGTGGTGCTGATTGTTGTTGGCGATGATGTTATCAAGTCATATATATTAGCAATATTGGATCTTTCAAAATGATTTGATTTGCTTTAGACATTTCCGAGGCTTTTGAAAATAAATAACAAAAGACTATTTTTAAAGGCCAATAATTTGTTTGTTATAAGAAAAGGTGCTGGAGTTTTTGAAAACATTACATTATTTTTTATGGCAAAAGAAACTCCAAAATACCAATTGACCTACAGACCCCATTCGGAAAAATTTTTAATTTGTCCATCAAGAGAAATTATCCAATAAAATATTTTACCAATCCATAGAATTCAATTAATTTTTTGTTATTTATTTTTATAACTAATGGTGACATTAAATTCCCCCTCCCCAAAAAAAAATCATGAGTCGTATGTCAATATTTGTGCAGCTGTCCATATTACTGAGAAGAAACATAAATTCAAATTTTCGCCCAATAAATATAGACACAACTCTGCAACAAGGCCACAATTTTTTTTTGGTTGCACTTCATCGTCACCAAAGAATAACCAAAGACGATCAACATGATTTTGTCATCATTCTAAAAAAAAATTGATATTCCAACATTGGTGGTGTTTGATCGAAGAAAGAATTAAAAATTCCATAATGTGGTGGGCTGAGATCGTTCGAATGTGGGCGATGTTTTTTTTCTTTTCTTCACTTATGGACATACAAGATTCCAAAATATTGTTTGGCAAATCAAATGGAAAAATGTCAATGAATTCCAATTTTGCCATAAAGTGTGTGTGTGTGGCTTCTTTCAATTTAAGCAATTACCATAAATGGCAAAAACCTCAAGCAAGCAAATGGGCCGCCACCATCATCATCTTCCAGTTAGAATGTTTTGATGAGCACCTGCACAATGGCTGACGATGATGATGACGACACCCATATTCCAAGAGTTGATCTTATTCTCCATCAGTTTTCTTAGATCATCAATCTTACTTAGTTGCCTGCAATCACAAAAATATTTTTCTTCTTTATTAGACTTGGGGGCAAGCTCTGGTTGATGATGATTGACATAATTTAACATTTATCTGTTTGGGGCGTCAGCTCTCCATCCATCCACCGAACCTTTTGCCTTTTGAGAGGGGAAGGAGGGGGTCAATTGGGGTCCCCATTGTTGTGGCAACGGTGTACCATTGTGTAAATTGACTTGAATTGACAATTGCTTTAAATTGGATTTCCAAACAAACTTGCCTGCCACTCGCCGCATCCTCAGCAAGCAGCAAAATAAGCGCGTGTGCAGCAGACATTTGCTGCCGTTGCCGATGTTATTTTGCTGCAACATATGATCATGCAATAAACTGAAGTATGTACTTCTCTCGTTGCAGTTGTTAATAAAAATCCATCATAATTCATTGAAATAAACAAATGAAGGTGGGGTGACAGATAATGTTGCTGGGTGTTGTTCGGCTTGGTGGTGACTGAGGTGAGGCAAGAGAGTGCAATTGCAATGGAAAATAGTGGTGGAGATATATTGAAATTCATATAAATTATAAACAATTAACTTATATAGTTACGCAGGATGTATGCTGAAAAGTAATCGTATTCGAAAAGTGTTGTTTAACAGGGAGTTCATCCAATACACTGAAACAAATTTCCATTTGTTTCAGTGTATTGTTTTAAATGTTCCTAAGATGTTTTATTTTTTTAATTATGTTCAAATTACATAGTGAAGGTTCATAGAAATATATCCCATTCCCAAATGTCCGAGATGTACTATTTATATTTATATCCGAGGGCTACCATTTATATTTCTGTCTTTCAAGGGAAATGTGGATATATAACCAGAAGAGTCTGACGGGGCCGACCACGAACAACATTCATTGGTTTTGGCTCGACTTTGTAGATCCACACAATTGATTTTTTTTCTTTCGAGTTCATATGAATAGATGCAAATATTTTAAGGGTCTTCTGATTGTGGATATACCCAAATTCCCCAGCAAATATCAAGAAATAAGCGAAAATATTGATACTGCCCTAGTTATTTTATTTTTGAGAAAAAAATCCCATAAATAAATATTGACTTGATTCCGCCTTCTAAATCTGCAATTGGAGCGGAATCTCTTCCCTTGATTTATTTTTATTTTCTTCTCCCAATTTTTTGTATAAACAAAGTCGTCTATTGCAATCGTTTACAAAACAGCAACAACAACATAAATTTGAAAATGTGGCAATGTTGTTGTTTTTTTTTTCATTTTTTTACTTCATTAAACTTTCCCATGTAAGTTGTAGTTCAAAACTTTGCTGATTAGTGGGTTGCACATAACAAAAATTGAAAAAAAAAAAAATCGGAAAACTAAACAAAAAACGCTCTCTATGTGATTTATATGATTATTGTGCGTGTGACTCTGTTGTTGGGTTGGTTGTATTTCCTTGCTCTTGGTCAAAATAATTTGGCAGGTGGCCAATTGGTACAAAAATCGTGTTATCTTGTCGCTCTCTATTTGTTGTTAAACGACGACCGAACTACCGGTACTTGTGGGCCACAAATATTCCCCGATGTCATCGCCGTGAAGGCTTTTTAGCCGGTATAAAACACACACACAATGATTGCGGGATAGTGGGACTTATGACCAACCGGACAAACACTCAAACTCACATACATGCACATAATCGGATGTAGATGGCGAGAAATAGAAATAAAAATAAACACAACAAACAGACAGACGGACAGATATTAAATGGGAAAATACAATCATTTGCTGGTGCTATTGTTTTGAGACCAATGACTCTCTGGCGGACTATTTATTGAAAAGAGAAATACAAAAACAACAACAGTTTTCATTTTGTTGGCTTCGGTTTAGTTGGCCGGCTGACCGGCCACATGCTTAACGAAACGTTTCTCCACTTAGCCAGCACCTCATCATCATCATCAACAACATTTCACCCCTCTCGTTGTTTGTTTTACATATTGCGTTATAACAACAACAACAATATCCCAACAGCAACAACATAACAACCAAATATCTATGACAAATTAGTGAACTCATTCGGTTTTGCAATAAAAGTGAACTGCTGGTGAATTGCAGTAAAATAATAAAAATCGAAATAAAATATGTCGTGAATGCTGCCTGCCACCACACACCAATACTCACACTCACACACACACAGAGTGTCATTTCTATTTCTATTCCCACAGCTATGACAGCCTAAAAAAATTGTTTTGTAAAAATTCCTTAGATGCAACGAAAAGTGTGCCATTTCGAGTAAAACTAGCACGACGACGAGGCCCGCCCGGCATTTGTAGCCGGTGTAGCCATTTATTCCAACAGTTGGGTTTGGTTGTTCGGAATTTTGCTTTTAACGAAATTGTTACAAAAGAAATAACTAATCGGATGAAAAATGTTTAATTGTCTTTGATTTGTTGTAGTTTTGGAATTTAAAAAAGTGATTATTGCCAAAAAGTAATCCTTCCAAATAAAGGAAACCGAAAAAAATCTGAAACCAAGAAAAAAACTTTACAACGAATATCAAAAAAAGTAAAGAAAACAAGTGCCATTCCACAGAAGAAAGAGAAAACAAATATAGCCGCTTTAAATTTAATTTTATACAAAGAAAAGTGTTCTTACAAAACAACGAAAAAGAAAAACATTTTGCCAATCTCAATTTTAAATAAAACATTCCAAAATCACAACTGTTCTTATGTTGGTGTAACCAAAAAGATAAACTCCACCTTGACAACCCCCCAAAAAAATCTTCAAATTGTTTAAACGCAAACAACAACAAACAACGTTGTCACCATAATTTGTGGATTGCGATTTAGTTGGCTGGCGACACAAACGGCGTCACCATGACATCGCACTCCTACTATAAGGATCGTTTGGGGTTTGACCCCAACGAAGCACAATACGAATCTTCAACAACTACGCGTCGCAATGCCAGTCGCAGCAGCAGCAGTAATCATCATACGCAGCTGAATAGCACCACCAGCAGCAGCGGCCACCATCATCATACGCAGCAGCGGGAGCATCAAAATCATACTTATCCACGCAGCAGCCACCATCCCCACCATCACCATGTTGGCGGCTCATCGACATTGACCCATCATCATCATCAATCCTCGGCTTCACCAGCCCGAATCTCGATATCACCCGGTGGTGCTTCACTAGATCAATATGCCGACATTAGTCCGGCCAAGAAACCGAAACATACATCAGCATCAGCGCTGCAACAGCCCCAGGGTGGCTATGAAGATGCATTGACACAATTCAAAGGTACCATGTCTATATGGGAATATTTTATAGAAAATTGGGATATAATACGTAAGTGGTTTTAGAGCCAGCCCCCACAAAAGAAAAAGTGGGGCGGCCGAGCCTTGACACCCCCAAGCGGAATGATTTCGGGGGAATAATGTCGGCCCCTTCCCTTTTTTGCTTCAAATTTATTTGAGTTGTTGTTTTTGCATTGCTGTGCAATTTGCTGCATGAAATGCTCTCGCAACTCTCAACGCATTCTTTCGATCGCTCGCTCTCTTTGTCTGTAACCAAAAACTAAAATTGGCTAGAGAGCTTTGCGGAAAGAGTTTAAGCTTCGATGTTAAATGTTTGCGCAATATTATTGAATTATAATTACAACTGTAGCACAGTGGAAATTGCATGCTAATTGACGTTTTTGGGTATTTGGTTTAGGAAAGGATACTTCATGGAATCGCTTCAGGATCGCCAAATATGAAAATTTTGACCACAGACCTCTTAATTGACCTACGTTCATTCAGTTTGAGAAATATTCGTCGGGGTTTTTGGTGGTATAAACCACCCGCATTTCCTACACGCTTTGCAACAGACCTCAAAATATCCGCCAATTTAGAAGGAATCAGTCTCAAAATATAAAGTGAAAATAAAGTATGGATACTTAGTCGAACGCAAAAGTCGATTTACTTATCCATAGTTTGAATTTGTTTTTAGAATAGGTCTCACTTTTGATCAATACCTGGCAATATTAAAGGATTTAAACCCCTTTATCCTGCTATGTGGCATATTCGAATCGGAGCGACTGGAAATTATTTTTTTAATGCTCAAAATTTAATCCGATTCAAAGATATGTATTTAAATTTAATTTGCAAATAGCAAATAAATTTTTAACAGTTTGTCCTTCGGGTTTTTTTTTCATAAAACCCAATCTTAGTGGCCAAACACTGATCTATACCGATGTATTTAACCACACTATCATAAATTAATGTGTTCCGAAAATTTCTCAATAAATTTCTATTGCCAATTGAAAGTATTTTTCATATTTTTGTCTAGTTTGTATTTCCACACAATCATCCATTCCAAACACCTTGAAGCTTTTTTTAGAGTTTTCTCACGTTGTTTTTGGTAGTCTTTTTGGGGGCGTTAATTTGTTTGTTTTTATTTATTTTTGTTTTAATAGAAATCAGAAGCGACTTTCCACTGTGCCATAATATTGCTCCAGTTGTAATGAATGTTTCACTTATCGCGCTCAACTAATTCAAACGCCGCGTACGTTCGTTCGCTTGATGACGATGGTGACGACGTACGTGCTGCGGCGCCAGCTACCGCCTCTTGATTTAATTTAATTTCATTTCGTTTTTGTGGTTCAAATGAAATTATTTAACAACGTTCAATCCTTTTTAAATGTTTTTGTTGCCTTTTTTACTTTTGTTACTATTGTTTGCTTTCTTTCTTTTTCGTTTTTATTTTGCTTTCTGCACGTTTTAATTTATTTGCACTAAACAACAAAAAAAAAATGATAAAAAAAATCGGCATTCACACATTTATACAGCAGGAGGAGATACTGATAGAAACGCTACTACAACACTTTATGTTACGTTAACGCTTATCAATCAGAGTGGTGGTAACGAACGAAAGTTTCGGATTGATTGAATTGAAAATGTTTTTTTTTTTTAATAGAGAGAATGTGTGACTTGACTGAATGTGTACAACTCCTCGTCTGGGTTGGGGAGGTAGAAAACGAGGAAGTTACCGCACTCAGTAGTCAATTTTTTTTTTTGAGATACGACCTTGCGCTATGTTACTCTACTACTCTACGATTGAAAATAATATTTACGTTTGTTATTTATAATTTTACACAAACAAACAATCTACACCGCTACATACATACAAACATGAAAAATAACTAATTTACCTTTTTTATCACAAATCTATGCTAAATAACTCGTTTGACTGTCGAATAAATATCACATGAAAATAAAAAATTAGAAATATTTTATTTAAAATAAAAAACTAACTAAGAAGCTTAAATGTGCTAGAATTTCATAGTTTTCAACGATTCCTTCAACAGTTTTTTTTCACTTGACAAATGTTTTTTTGAAAAGCCAAAATGTCAGTTTCTCTGTAGATTTGTATAATTTAAAAATAAAATCACAATTATGTTAATTAATTACCGTTTTGAATTTCTTTGAATATTATGCGAACAAGCATTTCTGGAATTTTTGTTTTTTTTTTCTACAAAATATAGGCTTAATTGGCTTGACGATGGCCATTGGGCCAGTCGGAAATATTAAATATCATTATCAAATATGTTGTTGATTATTTTTTATAAATTGGATTTATATTTTAATTTTTGTTTTTTTTATAAAATTTGAAAAAAGACCGAATCGCGGATACTCATAAAATAATATTTCAGTTTTGGGCATAAACAATTTTTTGTATATTATTATACCCTCACAACTTTGTTGTTAGGGTATTATGGTTTTGTGCAGCCCCTAGAGTTTGTAACGCCGCGAAATATTGTCCTAGTATATCGATATCATATCTCGACTAGCTGAGCCCATCTAGACATGTGTGCCCGTCCGTCTGTCCAGGCCACAGTTATGGACTAATCTTCACGAAATTTTGCATGTGTTGTTGGATGGGTTCTGGCCAGAGAAGACCCCTATTGTGTTGGTAAAGATCGGTTAATATTTAGTGGATGACATCGATCAAATTCCTAATTTTGTCGGTTTTTCTGGTCGCTCCAGAGGCCGAACTACCCTGCCATTGCAATATAATAAATGATATTTCATTTATAATTTGGAATATTGTTTTAATATTAAATGTCTCCTAGTGGTGACTCAAAAAATTTATTCCCATATTTTGAGGACAGAATGTATAATGAATCAAAAACCAAACCACAGCTGTTATTTGTAAAGAATCCCTGCAATGATGAATGGGAAAATGTGGGTTTTTTGCTTTTAATAATTTTTATGAGCTCCATACCATATGCATTTTAATTAGCCATTTCAACTAACAGCCGTCATTTTAGAAAGAAACAAAAGGCATTTGTTTTTCTGTCATTCTCTTAGGGAAAATAACAGATTTTGAATATTAATAAAAAAATATTAAATACTAAAATTTTACTTTTTGACAGGGTGTATCGATTGATTCAATATTTTGATCTATGAGTTTAAAATGCTAAGCTTCGAGTTATGACTTAATATTGAAACACGCTCAGAGTTAGTTAATTAATTTGAATAAATTTGACATGAACCCGCACACATATCAATTTTTGTCATAAATTGTGATTTAACAAATTTATTTTTGGCATTTCCTTATTCGGTCATCTGTCCAACGAACGAACTCACGAACGAAGCAATCAATAAACCTCCCTATACCTAGCAAATAGCCAGATAAGTGTTTGAACGACTTGTCTCATTTTTTTTATAAATATATTGCCACTTAAACCGTTATTAACATTGACCCTGAATATGAATGGCGGCGGACCGAAATTAGGTATCAACAGCACCAACAACTTAAATATGACAAAATAGCAACAAAAAACGAGAAAGAAAAAAATTATGAATAAAATAAAAAAAAAATTTGCATGACAATATGTTAATATTTTACAGTAACACATATATACCTACTACCTTAAAAATGGTTGAAATATGACCGATCGATATTGTTATCCATATTTAGGGTCTAGTTCCCTCGAACCAAAACAACAACAATACACCAAAGTTCAATATACACGCCAATGACAATGTTAATTATTAATTGTTTTTTCCTACTTTTTTGTTGTTAATAAATATTTAAAAGAACAACAATGGAACTAGTAATCAATAAACACCTAAATTTTATTACCAACTACCCTTCAATTGAAAAGGGATTAGAAGAGACACAGTGGCCTCGTCTACAAAAAAATAAAAAACAACTCATTACTAATTAACTGAATTGTAAGCTTAGGAATTCAAAGACTACTTCAATGCTAACGCGATTTCCTAGGTCACTTAAATTATACTCATATTCGTATCTATGAATTTGTAAAACATTACGCACCTAATATATTCTGCATTGTCAATGGTAGAAACCCGTAGTACCAAATAATCCACAAAAATTTCATTAGTCCAAAGTCAACTTACCTATCCTCTTGTCAATGGAATAAATTGGTAATTTGTTATTATATTACATTAGTCAACTTTTAGATTTTTGAAAAAGTCGACTTTTCGATCTTGTCCTATCTGTTAAAAATCTCTTTTCGACTTTTAATGAATAACGCAAATCGACTAAAAAGTATATTTTTTATATTCAAAGAGATCGAATCGATCTAGGGGTTTATATGAATTTTCAACGGTTAAAAGAAAATATAGGAAATTATAATAAAGTCTAACTTGTCTTTTTGACCTTTCAATACAATAAGTCGATCAGGCAAAAGTCGACTTATATATCCCTAACAACTGACATGTTGGCTATCCTGAAAGCCACGCCTTTTTTAAAACGAAGATTGATTTTCATTTTAATTGCAATTTTGCAAAGACTCCCCTTTCACACTTTGTTGCGCATCAAGCCACTGTGCCACTAGTTCGTTGAGTTATGAGAAAAATTGTCATTTTGTATTTTTTTTTAATTATACAAGTGGTGGGTTTCATTTTTTGCATTAATTAAATGGCGTTATAATCGATCGATAGGTAAATATTTATTTTTTGTCTTGTTTTGTTAGTTAAAAATATCGGTGAATAAGCCATAAATAATTTGTTAACAATAAACAAATATATATGATAATTTTTTTATGACTAGATGGGTGGTAGTACGGGAGGTTGGGGGACATTCATACAGGGAGAGGGTCATAAAACAAAAAATGCCGCTTACGCTACGTGAGCTGGTAACTAGTTTTTAATTTGTTGAATTTTGAATTTTTCATATTTCTTATGTCTACTAATTTGAGAATAAACAACAACAACATTCTTGGATAATTAATTAGCCAATAGAAATATTTAGGCATTTTTTTTATTTCCCTGGTGGCCTACAAGGCCCTT